ACAAGCCATACATGACATAACGGATATATGAAAATTTTCAGAACTGAATTCCGACTCCAATATCCAAAAGTCAACTCCCCGGTCAAATTTTTCAAAAATTTAACTTTCGCCATTTCAAGCCTAGTTCATCTACCGACCTCCAAATAATTTTTCGGACATGCTCCTAAGTCTAAAATTACCATACAGAGCTATTGGAATCATCAAAACTCTATTCCGGGGTTGTTTACACATAAGTCAATATCCGATCAACTATTTCAACTTAAGCTTCCAACATGAAATTCATTCTTCCAAGCTAACTACCAAATACCTTAAAACCAAAATCGACAATTCACACAAGTCATAATACATCGTAGGAAGTTATTCAATACTTCAAATAGTTGAAAGGAGCATAAATGCTCAAAACGACCGGCCGAGTCATTACAAGCCTCGGGCATGGAATTCTTCTTGGGTCTTCCTTCGGGATAGCCGCCTCATGTACTTAGATGTAGTCTTCAAGCGAGCCTTGGATGCTTCGATATTGGCCCTATACTGGGCCACCATCTCTTCAGCATCGACGGAGGTTGTGCGTAGCTCAGACTTTATAGCTTCACATTCTTTACCAAGGGCATCCTACTCTGCTAAAGCCGAATTCAATTGCGATCGGAGTTCATCATTCAACTGGAACCACTTGTCAGCTTTTTCTTTCTCCACCATGAGTTAAACCTCTACCGATGCCAGCTGTGCCTGGGCGGTTTCCTTCTCTGAAGCCAGCCGATCCATTTTTCTCTTCCTAACACCGGCCATGGCTTAGACCTCATTCATTTCAGCTCAGAGTTGGTCGATCCGGTCAATCTTCTGTTGAAACTGCGAGGGTTAGCGTTAGTCACGATGGCTAAGTCTTCATTGCCAACTTCAAAAACCTTTACCTTTTCGACAAGATCGGCATGTTCACGCCTCAGGTTTGAAGCTTTCCTCTAAGCCTCATCCAGCCTCTGAAGGTCCTTAATGGCCCCTTCGTGTTGCTCACTGAGAAGCTTATACATATCTCTTTTCTCGACAAGATCCTTAACCTCAAACTCAAGCTGGTTAACCTCAACCCGGTACCGAAGAAAGCTTTAACGATGAAGTACCGAGGCCTGCAAAAGGGTAAAAGAAGAAAAGATGAGAAATATCAAAAACTAAGTCAAAGTTCGAAAAAGCATAATGATGGCTTACCTGATTCAGCGCATGCTGCGCTTCGTTGAACAGGCACGGCACGTCCACCTCATTGATTTTTGCCTGGTCTTCTTCGGTTACCAGGCATCAGAGGTAGCTCACTACTCCCACATGAGCAGAAAGAATCCGGGCATCATCCGGGACAGTGATGATTATCGACCTCTTATGGTCGTGATCCACACTCGGGGCGGGGAACTGGTTGATTAACTTTGGGCTCGAGTTTAGCCCGCCAACCTTTGAAGACAGATCCTTTCTAGGCACTTCTAAGTCGCCTAACCCAAGAAAGTCTTCTAAGGCGGACGAGTCCACACCATCGAAAAAGGAACGAAGGGGTGGCCTCCTCGAGCATAGACTCAGTGTAGGAGGGCATCCCCGGGATATCAATTACGCCGGGCACTTCCTTTGGTGCAGAACCGGCATCCTGGGAAGTTTCACCCCAGGTATCCACGTCGACTTTCTGAGTTGGAGGGGGGTCGACCTCACGAGTCTCACCCTCGGAAGTATCCCAATCCCCGGGATAGGTCGTCCCGTGGGCTACAAAAATAGATTCATCCTCCGGCTCGTCCCTAAGCCGGAGGAGGGAGTCGGAGGCAGGCACCCGAGAACTGGATCCCCTCCTAGGCTTGCGGAGCACCTGCCTCTTCGGTTTCTTGGTCTCGAAGCTCGGGGAGCCCGAAGGTTTTCTTTTCCTCTTCTTTTTTCCCAATGTGATAGCAATGAAGGGATCAACGGGCGGGGGCACATCTTCGTCCCCTTCCGAAGACCTAAGTTCGGTGGTCTTAGGCAAACCTACAATGATAAATAAGGGAGAGAGGTTAGTATAATATAAGGTGAAGACATAACGTTGGCTATTCAGAAAGAGACCTTACCATGAGAACGGCCTTCCCATCGGCCCTTTGAGATTTTGTGCCATGTGCACTCGAAGTAGGACATCTGAGTACAGATGCCCTCAATCTACTCCTTCAGCCGGGGGACCGCATTCGTAACCCGGGCAATAGCTGCACAACCACAAACATGAATGAGAAGATCGAAATAAAAGAAGAAGAATTTTTGATGAAGGAGTTGCACTTACGAGACACATTCCATTTCTCAGGGAATGGCATGTATTCAGGGGGGATCAAATCCTTGGTCTTCACTTGGACGAAGCGTCCATGCCATCCACGGTCTCGGTCTTTGTCGATACTGGAGAAGGGGGACTTGTTGGCCCGGCGTGTAAGCTTGATCAACCCCCCTCGGACCATCCGGGGACTATATAATCGAAGCAGGCGGTCGAACGTGAACCGACGAGATTCAGTCTTGTTCACGAAGTAACGGAGGAGAGTCACGATCCTCCATAATGATGGATGGATTTTCCTGAGGCACACTTCGTACCTTTTGCAAAAATCTAGGACGATTGGGTCCATCGGGCCCATTGAGAAGGGATAAGTGTAGACACTTAAATACCCTTCCACGTGTGTAGTAATGACGTCATCGGGCCCAGGGACTACTACGTCTTTGCCTTCCCAAATGCGGTCCTTACTAACTATGGGAAGAACGTCCTCGGTCACAGAACATATATATCTCGAGTTTCCTTATCCCCAGTCTTGTTTGCGCGAAGGTTTCTCGACCTTGAAATCGTCTACAATTGACCAACCACTAGGGATAAACGCCGACAAAGGAGGCTCGGGGGCCGGTTCGTTAGCAACTGCAATAGGGAAAGTCATTTTGAGGGCCACCACCTCGGGGGCAGCCGCTTTAGTACCAGCGGCCAGCTGAGAAGATGAAAAGGCAACTTATTGAGGGAGCGGTTTTTGATGTTTTTCCATTGTCATATGGGAGAGAGTTTGAAAATTTGAGAAATAAACACGAAATTTTGGAAAAATGAGTTTTGAAGACGAAGAACAGGGTATGAAGATTTGAAGAAATTTTGGATAGGAATCTGAAGATTGCTATGATGATTGAAGAACAGGGATGAAGATTTGAAGAAGGTTTTGATAATGGTTGGATAGCTCGAAGATAGCGGTTTGATCGGAAAGTAGAAAAAAGACTAAGGAATGAGGCTTTTATAGGGAAACAACTGACATTTCGCATTCAGAGGCAACATGCCGGTGAGCGACACATCTCCAAAGTCAGAACGAAGCGATTGATGGGACGTTTCGGCTCCCCGTTGTAACGTACGAAGGAAGGAACCAGAGCCATCTGTCGTTTCCCATCGTTTCGATAGACCTACTCTTTGAGAAACGATGAGACTATCTGTATATGGCTAAAACCGAGCCTGCTGCATGACTCGACTCCCCTGTGAGCCAAACGAAGTAGGAACCTGACCGTAATATATCGGAGTCAGAGCGAAGAACCCCTCGTATTGGGGTTCGGGCAAAGCACCTGCCCTCGGGGATATCGAGGCCATATCCTCGATGCCCGATTTGAGGATTGAGACTTCGGAGAGCATTGCCAAGCATCTGCACACGACTAACAAATGGCCGTAATGTCCGTGCCTAACTGGATATCACGGCATGAATCTCGGCTCTATCGACAGAAAATTAGTGATCGGCTAAACAGAAGTTTTTTACTTTTTTTTAGAATTGTACTTAGGGTAAAACTCCTCTACTATATAAAATGGGAAGACTTACTATTTATAGGACACATTGCAACACGCATATCAAGGTAATATACTCTTATTTTCTTTGTTATTCAAAATTCTTACTTTTGTTCATCACTTTTTCATTTGTGTGAGCCCGGAATCGAAGGCAGTCATTTCATTAAGCTATTACTGAGTCCGGGGTCACTCCCCTTAATAGGTTTGACAATTTATTACGTCCTTTATCTATTTTATCCAACGGTATTTATCATTTGTATTGAATTAATCCGTATATCATTAAAACCACGTATAAATTCAATTGTTATTAATTTTTTAGGGTAAACAAGTATCTAAGGACCAATATTCTTCGTAGGTGAGATAAATTCTCCTAAAAAGTGTAATTTGTAAAATAGTCCAAACTTAAGTAAGTTAGGATATGAAGGCATCATCAATTGGCTTAATTGGACTGCTTAGGAAACAAAACTAATTCCTAGGAAAATTTTGTCAGAAAATAGAAAAAAATATATTTCGTTTTGTTTGTTAGTGATGTATTTTGCTGACTACTATGTAATATGTATAATAAAGTGCCTACTGCCATTATTGGAACGTAGCTCAGCCGAATGAATCTTATTTGAGACTTTCAACCTATAGCAGCCAGTATTGAAACACAGTTCTCTTGACCACGTGCTTAAGGGGCGGAGCTAGCTTTGAAAATGCAGGTTCACTGAATCATAATTTTAGTTTAAATTTTGTACTTATCTTACTAGATTTTATATTGGTATTTCCCCTTCTTTTATTACCATTAAAAGCGCTGCCTTCACCCATCTTTCTGACTTTGAAGAGTCATTAATTATCAAATCAGTAACATAAAAGAACTAAAATCTCGTACTCATAATAGTATATCTTGGCTTCGTCATTCGCAACTAACCTGCTTAGTCAATCTTCTAAAATCAGCTTATTTTGTGAAATATTTTTTCTCAAAAGTATTTTTAGTGAAAAATAATTTATATTTGACTAATTAATTTTAAAAATACTTCTGAGTAACAATTAATATTTGACCAAACTTCTAAGAAGTGTTTATAAGTGTATTTTTTCAAAAGTATTTTTCATAAAAGTACTTTTAGAAAGAAACTATTTTTTTATTTCTTTTTTATTTTTTAATTTTAAAAATTTGGCCAAATAATTCAACTTTAAAACTAAAAACAACAGATATTTATGGATTAGAAAAGCTTGGGCCAAATAGACTATTAAGTGAGGAGTACGTATTATTTAACTAGTCCACAAAAAAAGCAACCAACTTAGTACTACATTAATACTTATTTTTGTGAAAATGGATGGAATAGAGCACAAATATATTGAAGTGAATGGTCTAAATCTTCATGTAGCTGAAATCGGAAATGAATCTTCTCCAGTTGTTGTGTTTTGCCATGGATTCCCAGAAATTTGGTACTCTTGGCGGCACCAGATGATCGCTTTAGCCAAATCTGGTTTCAGAGCCATAGCATTTGATTACAGAGGATATGGCTTGTCTGATCAGCCACTCGAACCCGAAAAGGCCACACTTTCTGATTTTGTTAACGATCTTCTCGGACTCCTCGATGCTCTGAACATCTCGAAGGTATGATCTTCTGCAGCTATGAGTAATTGAGTATACAGTTATATTTAAGGCGGGTCTTGTGAGTTCAACTAAACTCATTACTTTTAACTCGAAGTATGTATAGATACGAAATATTATTATCATTAAAGGGCAGCCGGTATGTTCAACTAAACTCCTGCTATGCACGCTGGACCACACAAGGGTGTAACGGTCTATTATACGTAGCCTTATTCTATATTTTTACAAGTTATTATTTTTACGGCTCGAACCCGTGATCTCCGGTTGCAAGAGGTTGTTACCAGCTATACCAAGGCACTTCTTCGATCTGTTACTCATATGTTGTGAGATTAATAGAGTACGTGTAATTACCCAAAATTAAAATCATTGTGTTATCTGTTACTCTAATAAAAATAACTTATACGAACAAAACCATTTAACTTAGGTGTAAAACCATTCATTTGTCATGTGACTTGCTCTTAATTTATATCCACTGATTTTTCACTTTTGCCTTTCCCCTGCAGTTTCATAAAATAAGAAATATTATGAAACCATTGTGTTATCGGATCATTTTTTTAATCCGTTCTTTGAATGCAAATCAATATAACGTTTTGGTTTATGTTTTCATATGTAGTCCTATTAGCTATTTGTCTCAAGATGTTACCGTCAGATATGGTTATAGACTGAATAACAAATAGAACTCAACTTTCTTATCCTGCAGTCATAGGCGGATCTAGAAAGTTTTAAGTGGGAGTTGATCCTTGATCGATCAGGTCAATAACTCAGCACTCAACCGAGTGCACCATTTAGTCTTTTTGTAGCATGGGTGCCAACAAATAATATTAGATTAATTTTAAAATATACTTAGTTTGACGAAAAGACGATGGATCACGTGCACCATCAATAAAGCATTAAATACGCCCCTGATCCCGCTCTCAAGTTTTTCTCAAAAAATTCATGTGTGAGCACATTTATGCAGGTTTTTCTAATAGGTAAAGATTTTGGAGCTGCTGTTGTTTCCTCCTTTGTCCTTTTCCACGAGAAGAAGGTTGTCGGATTTGTAACGATAGGCGTCCCATTCGTGGTCGGAAACCCTCTTAAGAATCATGATCAACTCCCTGAGGGCTTCTATGTTTATAGATGGAGAGTATGCTGCTGATTTCTCTGTGTGCTTTTCTTAAACAGGCTCAATTTGTTTTTTTTTTTTGGCCTTTTGATCTCATTTCAGTGATTTTCTAATCCAGGAGCCTGGGCGAGCAGAAGCCGATTTTGGTAGATTTGATGCTAAAACAGTTGTAAGAAACATTTACATCCTTTTCTCTAGAAGTGAAATGCCAATAGCTGATGAAAAACAAGAAATCATGGACATGGTGGATTCATCAACTCCTTTACCCCATTGGTTTACAGAACAGGATCTTGAAACTTATAGTGCCTTATATGAGAAATCTGGATTCAGGACTGCATTGAAAGTTCCTTATAGGTAAGAGCTAGTTTACTTATAAGAATTTTCTTGAGGTAATAAGCTCTCTAAAATACATGGAAGCACAAACCACACTTGCCATCCGTAAACTAATGAGAAAATGTACTATGTTGTACAAAATATATTAATTTTACCCCGTTATACTTTTTAGCCATCCATATTCTTGTCGTTAGCAAATTGTCTTATATTTTCCCCGACTTTAACGGTGCTCCATAGAAAGAGAGTCTTGGCGTAACTGGTAAAATGAGCCTTCGAGCAACGGTAAAGTTGTCTCCGTGTGACCTATAGATCATGAGTTCGAGCCGTGGAAGCAACCACTAATGTTTGCATCAGGGTAGGCTCTCTACATCACGCACCTTGCAATTGCATTGCGGCCCTTCTCCGGACCATACGTGAACACCGAATGCTTTGTGCGCCGGGTGCCCTACCCACATCAAAATATCTTGGAGAAATGTCCAAATACCCCTCTACTTTTGACTATGGTTTAAAATTACCTATAGCTATACTTCTAAGTTGGAGGTCCATTAGGACCAAGCGTAAAAACGAGACAATTTGCTAATGACAAAGTTATACTAATGGTCAAAAAGTGTAACATAAGGTACAATTAAGATATTTGGTATAGTAATTAGCCAATTCATCCTTTTGAATATCTTAAATTTGTTTTTCCTGTATGTGGATTTTTTCTTTTGTTTAGGTCATACGGAGAACGAACAAACAAGCTACCAGTTAATCCAAAAGTTCAAGTTCCAGCACTGCTGATAATGGGTGAGAAGGACTATGTCCTAAAATCTCCAGGAATGGAAGAGTACATAAGGACTGAAAAGGTGAAGGATTTTGTACCAAATTTGGAGATAGTGTTTATTCCTGAAGGAACTCATTTTGTTCAAGAGCAATTTCCAGATGAAGTTAATCAACTTGTTCTCAGCTTCCTTAAAACCCATAGTCAACCTTGAAATTTTATGAGTGTTAATTTTAAAAAGCATTATAGTATATAATAGTTTTAGCAGTGATATATATTTATAGCATTTGATGTTGTTATAATCTATCTTGGAATGAAGTACTATAATTCTGTTGATATGAGACTGATATGAAGTGAATGTCCTCTATTTAACTGTCTCTCAATATTTATTTTGCCCTCTATATTCGGTGATGATTTTAGCTAAAATTCCTATATAAGTTCTCAAAGGTGTACTACTTTTTTTGGATCAATTGAAGTCTTGGATTGAGATATTTTGAGAAGACTCGATCGAGTTGGATTTAGGCATTCTGGGATCCTCTTGATGCTGCAAAATGGGATATTAAGCTCCCGTTTGGCCATAGATTTTGGCTTCATTTTTTCAAATAATATTTGAAAACATTGTTTATTTATAAAATATGATCATATTTTGGGGGAAAAAATTCAAAAATTTTCAAGTTCCAAATTGACATTTTTTTCTTCCACTTACAAAACTTTAACTTTTCTTCAAATAAAATATTTGTCCAAACACAAGTTCAAAAACTCTTTTCAAATTTCAATCAAATTTATGTCTAAACGCTAGCTAAGTTTTCTAATTTAGGATGCAAAAGCACTGAATAAAATTTGTTCCTTCTATACTTGGATATGGGGAGTTTCCTACTAGGCGCCTAATTCCAATAGATAGGAAAGTATGTTACGGTTTAGCAATTTGTAAAAGAAAACTCGAAGCCAATGACTAATTATACAGTACAATCTATGTCTCACTTATGTGTAGGGCTGTTTATTTGGATCGGATATCTGAAATCCGAACCGATCCGCTCAATTTCGGATTTTCGGATATTTGGATCGGATTTCGGATATTTGGATCGGATTTCGGATATTTGGATCGGATTTCGGATTGTGTTTATTAAAATTTCGGATATTCGGATCGGATGCGGATTGGTATAATTGTAACCCGATCCGATCCGAAATCCGAAATTATTAGGGCATGTATAAATATTAAACTTTAATTTCGGATAGTCAGTATTTCCTTTATATCTTCCTCCAAGTTATTAACTTTTACAATTGCTGGATTTAGCTACATTGGCACCATAGTACTCTCATAATTGTAGAAACATGAATTTTTCTTACTGTATTACCTCTTTTACAAAGAAAATATACATATGAGTTTGCAATTTTGAGGCATAATAATCCGATCCGAAATCCGAAAATCCGATCCGATATTAATTCGATTATCCGAAATTCGAATCCAAATTCGAAATGTGCTAAATCCGATCCGATCCAATGCATAGCCCTACTTATGTGATAGTCTTCTTTCTTTGTTTAAGAAAAAATGCATCTTTTTATATTTAGAATAATTTGACCTATCTATTCTTTCCTTAATAAATAATTGATATTCATACAAATATTTATAATCAAGCTGCTTTTTAAAAAAAAAAATTAATTTCATGTCCAATCAAATATCCTCGCGTAAATTAGGACGGATGTAGTAAGAATTATAAGAACGAAAGGAGAAAAATAGGAGCCACCAACAATCAATTACTGTAGAGCCTCCTAAGAGTTGGGGCGAATAATTGGAGTGATGGAAAAGGGAAAAGGAGGGTAAAAAAAAGAAATATAACAGAAATCCTAAAAAAAGCATTTAATATTAGAATATTTGAAGGAAATAGGAAGATCTATGAATCTTGCTTTAAGTAAATTCTACATCAGAATGGACGGGAAATTTAGGGCAGAAGTGGCTCAACCCAATTTGGGGCCTAAAGCTGCAATGTGAGGACTTAAGTTTTCTTTAGAAAAACAAAATTCTTGTGTTATAATTTGTATTTAAAGTCTGTTTTTCAAGCTTTGTGAGTTGCTAAGTTCTTAATATTTTTTTACAACCTATTTCTTCTAACAATTGGTTTCAATTGATAAAATAGTTAATATGTTGAATTTCTCTTGAGACATTGTCCAAATATCAAAAATAATGGTTTTTAAATAAAAAAATAGTAAAAGGTTTGGACAAAGAACCTGATTGACTAATTTAACTGATAAGTTAATACCAAAATATTTTTTCGATGCTTCTGTGCTTAAAAACTTGAAGAAAACGAAAAAGTTTACAAATTTCTATATTCGATATATGTAGAGAAAACTGAAAATTTCTGACCTTACCACCTTCCGATTTTGTACCACAAAGAAGAATGACAAGAGTTTTGTGTGTGCTTTTGACAGAAGGGAGTAAAAAATTTATCATAAAATACTTGTGAAGAAGGTAAAGAAGATAAAATAATGTGAGGATAAAAACTTATCCGCACCGGGTGTTTAAACCCAACTAACAAATAAATGACATGTGTCATGTTATTTAACTAGAACTACAAGTAATTAATCATAGTTAACTACCATATCTTCTACACATGATCTTAAAAAATAATGTATAATATATACTATATTAAAAACATGAAGGTCCTTAGCGAAACGTTGTTCGCCTTTTTTACCCCTTAAAATCTATTTTATATTAAAATCATCATTTTACATTTTTTCCTAATATTTAGGAGATATAAACAAACTAAATTTTGATATTAAATACTTCCTTATTTGAAGTATGTAAAAAATGTTAATATTAAATATATTGTATAAATCTGTAACGACCCAACCAGTCGTTTTGAGCTCTAGTGTGTCGTTCGACGGTTTGAGGCCTTGAGTAGCTTCACTTCAGGTATTATGACTTGTACGTGTGGTCGGGATCAAATTTCGGGAAAGTTCGAAGTTAATTTGGAAAGAAAATTCTAAATTCGGAAGCTCAAGTTGGAGGAGTTGACCAAGGTTTGACTTTTGAGTAAACGATCTCTGAATCGGGATTTGAAGGTTCCAATAGGTTCGTATGATGATTTCAGACTTGGGCGCATGTTCGGGTCGAGTATCGGGTGGCTCGGGAGCATTTCGGTACTTATTACGGAAGGTTGGCATTTTGAAAGTTTAAGAATTTTTTATGTTTGGGTTGGAGTGAATTTTGATGTTATCGATGTCCGTTTGGGATTCCGAGCCTGAGAATAGATTCGTATGGTGATTTTGGTCCTAGGAGCGTGTCCGGATGTTGATTTGGAGGTCCGTAGGTCATTCCGGCATCAACTGGCGAAAGTTGAAAATTGGATGATTTTTGTGAAGTTTGACCGATAGTGGACTTTTTGATATTGGGGTCAGATTCTAATTTCGGAAGTGGGAGTAGGTCCGTAATGTCAATTACAACTTGTGTGCAAAATTTGAGGTCAATCGGACTTGATTTGATACATTTCGGCACAAGATATAGAATTTGGAAATTTATAAGTTGATTCGAGGCGCGATTCATGATTTTGATGTTGTTTGATATGGTTTAAGTCTTCGACTAAGTTCGTATCGTAGATTGGGATATGTTGGTATGTTTGGATGAGGTCACGGGGGACCTCAAGTGCTAATTGGATTGAAAACGGATCGAGTTTGGACTTGGGAGGAAATACTAAGGCAGCTGATGTCTGGTGCAATCGTACCTGCATGAAAAGGGCCGCAGAAACGACCCTGGGGTCGCAGAAGCGGAAGGGAGTGAGGGTGGATAGATTCGGAGGTGCGAGGAATTTGCCGCAACTGTGGGCTCGTAGATACAGGTGGAGGAGCGTAGAAGCGTAGGTGGTCTGGGACTGGTCGATCGCATATGCGGGTGATGTAGCGCACCTGCAGAGCCGCAGGTGCGGTCATGGGCGCGCAGGTGCGAAATGGTGCTCGAGCAGGGGAGTCCGCAGGTGCGGAAGTTTTTCCGCAGAAGCGGAAGCGCACCTGCGATTGGATAGCCGTAGAAACGGAAAATGCTGGCCTTGGGGGAAGTTGCATCTGCGAGGAAGCTTCTGCAGAAGTGGAACCGCAGATGCGAAAAGTCATCTCGGCAATGAAGTTTTTATAAAAACGGGATTTGGCCCATTTTCTTTCATTTTTCACATGGTTGGAGCGATTTTGGAGGGCTTCAAGGGGAGATTTTTATCAAGCAACACAAGCTAAGTGATTCCCACCTATTACAAGTTAAATACACAGTTTGTATAAGGATTTAAACATGAAAATTAGTAGAAATTGTGGGGGTTTTGGTAGAAAACCTAGAATTTGGTATTTTTTGAATTTGATCACGAAATTGGACATGGAGTTTGAAATAAGTTACATATTTTAGTTCATGGTGTTATGGGTAAAGTTTACCTTCGAAAATTTTCGGAATCCGGGCACGTGGGCTTGAGGGTTGATTTTATAGACTTTTCGAGCGGAGTTGAAAATTTGTTTAAATTGATTAATTATGGGTATTAGAGTATCTTTTGATTGGTTTACATATTATTTAAATAGTTTTGGATCGACGGGCTTTGGTTTGAGGTGTTTGGAGGGCGTTGGAGCCGGTTATGGAACTTCGGAGCGAGGTAAGTCTCCTGTCTAACTCTGTGAGGGGGAAACTTCCCCTAGGTGATATATTTATTATGTGCTACTTGTTGCGGGGCCTACGTACGCACGAGGTGGCGAGAGTCCGTACGTTGCTAGATTCATCTTATGTCCGGGTAGACTTAGGTTCCCGCCATGCAATAACTGTATTATTTGAGTTGTCTCTTGCCTATTAAATTCCTTCATATTTCATTACGCCTTGAGACTAGACTTGCGTAGAGTGATAGACTCGATGTGGTAGAGATTTGACGGGCTTCATGATTAGCTGCAAAATGATTGTACTCCCCTTATGAAATTCTTTCGCGTATTGCGTTTCACCGAAAGGTTTCCCTTACTATACATAACTCACGCGTCGACTCGTGAGTGGGGTCAAGGACCCGTCAAAGCTTCTTATTCTAATGGGATCGGGCCATTCGCCTCGGCAGGATAGATACATCTATGGTTCATGCTGTTCGACCCTTAACAGTGCGCACACTATGATGGATCGGGCCGTATGCCTCAGCAGGATTTATATACCATACTCTCATGGGAGCGGGTCGTTCGCCTCGGTAATAAAAATAGATATATCTATAGTTTGGCAATGCTATGATGGATCGGATCGTACGCCTCAGCATTTTTATAAAATACTCTTATGAAATCGTGCGTAATAATTGGCAAGAAGCCAGCATATCTGTGAGTTTTCCCTGATTGAATTGTGACGACCTATCTGGTAAGGTCCATTATATATACTCTGATTGAGGAG